AAGTGGTTTTCGATTTCATGATAACTTCGGGATTGATCATTTTCAGCTATTTGCTAGTCTAATTCGATTGGAATCGAGCCACTGAAAAGTGGCTTTATATTTCATGATAACTTCGGGATTGTTCGTTTTTGCGAATTGCTAGTCTAATTCGACTGGAATGGAGCCAAGGAAAACTGGTTTTTGATTTCATGATAAATTTGGGTTTGATCATTTTCGGCTATTTGCTAGTCTAAATCGATTGGAATCGAACCAATGAAAAGTGGCTTTCGATTTGATGATAACTTCGGGGTTGTTCATTTTTGGCGAAATGCTAGTCTAATTCGATTGGAATGGAGCCAATGAAAAGTGGATTTTGATTTCATGATAACTTTGGGTTTAATCATTTTCGTCTAATTGCTAGTCTAATTCGATTGGAATTGAGCCAGTGAAAAGTGGTTTTTGATTTCATGATAACTTCGGGATTGTTCATATTTGCGAATTGCTAGTCTAATTCGACTGGAATGGAGCCAAAGAAAAGTGGTTTTCTATTTCATGATAAATTCGGGTTTGATCGTTTTCGGCTATTTGCTAGTCTTGTTCAAATGGAATCGAACCAGTGAAAAGTGGCTTTCGATTTCATGATAACTTTGGGTTTGTTCATTTTTGGCGAAATGCTAGTCTAATTCGATTGGAATGGAGCCAGTGAAAAGTGGATTTTGATATCATGATAACTTCGGGTTTAATCGTTTTTGGCTAATTGCTAGTCTAATTCGATTGGAATCGAGCCAATGAAAAGTGGTTTTTGGTTTCATGATAAGTTCGGGTTTATTCATTTTTGGCAAATTGCTAGTCTAATTCGATTCGAATCGAGCCAATGAAAAGTGGTTTTTCATTTCATGATAACTGGTGGAATCGAGCCAATGAAAAGTGGTTTTTCATTTCATGATAACTGGTGGAATCGAGCCAATGAAAAGTGGTTTTTCATTTCATGATAACTGGTGGAATCGAGCCAATGAAAAGTGGTTTTTGGTTTCATGATAAGTTCGGGTTTATTCATTTTTGGCAAATTGCTAGTCTAATTCGATTGGAATCATGCCGATGAAAAGTGGTTTTTGATTTCATGATAACTTCGGGTTTATTCATTTTTGGCAAATTGCTATTCTAATTCGATTGGATTCGTGCCGATGAAAAGTGGTTTTTCATTTCATGATAACTGGTTTGTTCGTTTTCGGCTAATTAGTAGTCTAATTTGACTGGAATCGCGCCAATGAAAAATGTTTTTCGATTTCATGATAACTTCGAGTTTGATCGTTTTCGACAAATTGCTAGTCTAGTTCGATTGTAATCGAGCCAATGAAAAGTGGTTTTTGATTTCATGGTAACTTCGGGTTTGTTCATTATTAGCGAATTGCTAGTCTAATTCGATTGGAATCGTGCCGATGAAAAGTGGTTTTGGATTTCATGATAACTTCGGGTTTGTTCATTTTTGGCGAAATGCTAGTCTGTTCGATTGGAATCGTGCCGATGAAAAGTGGTTTTTGATTTCATGACAACTTCGGGTTTGATCATTTTCGGTAAATTGCTGGTCTAATTCGATCGGAATCGAGCCAATGAAAAGTGGTTTTTGATTTCATGATAATTTTGGATTTGTTCATTTTTGGCGAATTTCTAGTCTAAATCGTTTGGAATCGAGCAAATTAAAAGTGGTTTTGATTTCATGATAACTTTGGGTTTTATTGTTTTCGCCTAATTGCTAGGCTAATTCTATTGGAATCGAGCCAATGAAAAGTGGCTTTCGATTTCATGATAACTTCGGGTTTGTTCATTTTTCAAACCGAATTAGACTCGAAATTCGCCAAAAACGAACTAACCCAAAGTTATCATGAAATCGAAAACCACTTTTCATTGGCTTGATTCTAATCGAATTGGATTAGCAATTCGCCAAAAATGAACAAACCTGAAGTTATCATGAAATCAAAAACCACTTTTCATTGGCTCGATTCCATTCGAATCAGACTAGCAATTCGCAAAAATAAACAATCCCCAAGTTATCGTGAAATCAAAAACCACTTTTCATTGGCTCGATTCCAATCGACTAAGACTAGCAATTCGCCAAAAATGCATAAACCCAAAGTTGTCATGAAATCAAAAACCACTTTTCATTGGCTCGATTCCAAATGAATTAGACTAAAATTTGCCAAATAAGAACAAACCTAAAGTTATCATGAAACCAAAAACCACTTTTCATTGGCTCGATTCCAATTGAGTTAGACTGGCAATTTACCAAAAATGAACAACCACGAAGTTATCATGAAATCAAAAATCACTTTTTATTGGCTCGATTCCAATCGAATTACACTAGCAATTTGCCGAAAACGAACAAACCCGAAGTTATCATTAAATCAAAAACCATGTTTCATTGGCTTGATTCCAATCGAATTAGACTAGCAATTCACCATAAACGAACGAACCCGAAATTATCATGAAATCAAAAACCACTTTTTATTGGCTCGATTCCAATCGAATTCGACTAGCAATTAGCCAAAAACGAACAAACCCCAAGTTATCATGAAACCAAAAACCACTTTTCATTGGGTCGATTCCAATCGAATTAGACTGGCAATTCACCAAAAATGAACAAACCCGGAGTTATCATGATATCAAAAATCACTTTTCATTTGCTCAATTCCAATCGAATTATATAATATCCCGAAATTTTATAGAATAAAATTTAATTTTATTTATGCTATATTTTTAATGTTTTGAAAGTTTAGGGACTAAAGTGTATATAAAGTAAACTTTAATAATATTTAGATTAAAATATAAATATTGACGGGACGATGATAAGTATACGAATATTGGGCTCGTTGGATAGATAATAATTAAAGACTCATTTTAGACTCTAGAAAAAATTAATTTGGGTTAGTCTAGCCCAAGTTATCGAAGCCGGAATATATAACATTAAAATATTATTTTTATTACTTTTATTGTTGAAGGATTCACGTGGAGAGAGAAAGATGAAAGTTGTGGAGATATTTTATTTTTTATTATAATTTATGGTTTTGAATTGTTATGGCAGGCACGTGATTTGTTAGAAAATATTGTATTTGATATTATTCCAAATTCAAATCCTTATCCAACTTTTTGTATAATCATTATTATCCTATTCCTTGTGTAGCACGATTTCCACTTCTAGTTGCATCAGGATTCTTTTATTTTTTTATTTCAAATACTCAGCAAAAGTCAGACTTCGGCCTACTTTTATTTCCAAAGCATAAAGAAGAAAAAGAAATACGTTTCTGGTAGCAGTAATCGAAAGCAAAAGTTTCGGAAAGAGATTTTGGATTTTTGCCTTTCATTATTTAATTTATCTAACAAGGTAGGATTTCGAGGTGCAAGTGGGTTGTCCCATTTAAATTATTTCTTCATGTTTGATAAATATTATACTTATGAAAGTTATGATATGTATGTTATGGTCATCCGGTACCAAAGATATGATATTATATAAGCTCTTACCGGTTCTAAAGATATGATATGACGGTATAATATTTTGACGCGTGATTTAATATTTTTAATTGGGATTGCACAATTTCTCGTACCCTACTGAGTATTCCCATATACTCACCCTTTTCCTACTCCTCACAGGTTAGATCGGGTCGTGTTGGAGTGTGGTGGTTCGAAGGTGTGGTTGCGTCTTGTTTCGCCAAATAAAGATCTAAGTTAGCACGTAATGTTTATTTATTTTCAGTTTATTGCAGTAAACATTTATTTATTTACGAATAAATTCTCGTTCATGTTAGTTGCAGATGAATATACGTAGTTTATGATTTTTAAATAGAAGTTTGAACTAAACGTTATTTTCCTTCCTATTGATTTTCAAATCTGTTCTTTCGTATATGTTGGGAAGAAAGAATTGATTGAGTTTTTGAACATTCCAGAAATTCCACCATGGTCTTTTATAATATTTAAAGTGTTTGCCAAGAAAGGACGTACCACCATCTACAATTGGAGTAAAATATTGAGTTAAGGTCCAAAGCATTAATTATGACATGAATTTGATAGATTTTGCTTGTCTACGTGTCAATCATGAATTTAGTTAGGTACTGCATGATTATAGAAAGTAATGGATAATTTGTTTTTAAGTTCTTCCGAGTTTTTTTTATTTATTTTATAGATGGAACTAGAAATATTTTCGTGTTGAATGATTAATTATTTTAATTAATCTTGAAATAAAGGTTTGGTAATGATTTTTGAAACTATTTAAAATTTGGGTCGTTACAGTTTGGTATCAGAGCGTAGGTTTAATCTGCTGTAGACCCACATGGATTCTCATAATTTGTAAAAAAAAAATGATGAACAGTAAGGTTACTGTTCTCTTGAATAGTGTCACGTACTGTTCATGGTGTTAGAATTTGATCGAATTAATTGTACGTGAAATGCATGATTCTGCCTATATGTTATAATTCGTGCGGGGGCATATATATGTATCAATAAGCATGTGTGTGGATTATATATTATATACGTTGGAAACTACGCCCGTGTTTTAACTCCATAGTCCTGCCCAATTTTATAATTTTTAATGGTAAATTAATTGTTTAATGTTGGAGGTGACATACTATGTCAGAGCATTTAATTATTGCCAAAAATGTTGAAATTCAAAGGTCAAACCATCCTTTTAACATTGAAAGGTGTGTGCAGGTTTACCTATATATACATTTAATACACCTTGATGATTGTGTAGTTTTGTGTTTCGAAAAAAAAAAAAATTTACTGTGAACAGTGACCGGACCATTCACGTGAACAGTACTCGGCACTGTTCACGTGAATAGTACTGTTACTGTTCACGTGAACAGTGTAGGATAAAAAAAATTGTGTGATGTTATATATATATTGAATTTTCTTTTTTTTTGTTACATGTTATAAAAGGCTTATTTGCTTAGTTGTTTTCCTAGATAATATTTGTTTAAGGTTAATATTTTTTATTTATTTATGAATTTAATGATAATATTAAATTAAAAGTTATGAAATATGCGAATGATCTTTGGCACTCAACGACCACCAATCGACCACCCTCAAACGACTCTAAGGTATGTAAAAAGGGTAAGAAGATAAATGTACTTAAAGCTTTTTGCGAGATTTAAATGCTTTAAATTTCCTATCTTTAAATGTTAAGACATGCACGTTTATTTTTCCCACTAAATTATGATATATATTGTCATAGATAATTATAACTTATTAGACTTAGTACTAAGTGTGATTGGTGACTTCATATTAAATTTTAGGAAATGGCACCACCTACTCATACGAATTTGATGCGCGATTTACTACGAGCGGTACAAGAGTTGAGTAGGCAAAATCAAGCACCTCCACCACAAAATGCACGCCACAGCAGAATGCATCGCATTTTGCCCCTGGAGTTGTCTCAGTGGTTGAGCAGTTTCGTAGGTACAAGCCTTCCACTTTCGATGGTAATTCAGAACCACTGGTTGTCGAAGAGTGGATAAGAGGCCTGGAGCTCATATTTTGACACATTGCTTGTACGGATGCACAGAAAGTATTATGTGCAGAATTTATGTTGATTGGAGCAGCTGGTCACTGGTGGGAATCTGTTTCACGTACAAGGACGGAAGAGCAACAACATAATCTGACTTGGGAGCAGTTTAAAGATGAAGTGATGGCAAGATATTTCCCACAGGCTTTGAGAGACTTCAAGGAATCAGAATTTTTGCAGCTCAGACAAGGGAGTATGTTACTTACTGATTATGAAAGACAGTTTGAGCAGCTCTCAAGGTATGCCCCGCACTTGGTGGATACAGAAGTTAAGAAGATTAGGAGGTTCGAGAATGGACTGCACCCTGAGATCGGCATGATCATTATGTCCCATCGTTTCACCTCATATCGTGAAATGTTGGAGAGGGCTCATGCTATTTCATATCAGAGGACCTCATTTGAACAGTATGCCCAGCAGAGCAAGGAGTCGTTGGGAAAAAGGAAGTGGAATGATCCAAACAAGGACAGACATAATTGGCAGAGTAAAAGACCAAACACAGGAGTTCGTATTGGGGGAGCTAGTGGGAATATTACACCGTGTCCTAAGTGTAATAAACTCTACAAGGGTGAATGCTTACTTGGGAAGAACATGTGTTTTCGATGTGGTAAGCCAGGGCACATTGCTCTCAACTGTACAGAGCCACCAAAAAGGAAGGATGATGATCATGACAAGAACAAGAAAGGAAAGGCCCGAGTTTTCGCACTAAATCAGCATGAGGAAGAGCAGGATCCGAATGTGATAGCAGGTACTAAATTATTAATATTTTAACACACTTGCTTATGTTCTTTTCACATAGGACTACACATTGTTCCATCTCCATCCCTTAAATGTTAGTCTAACACTATAAATTATAAAAACAGGTATTCTGTTATTATCTGATGTGCCTGCTTATGTACTTTTTGATTCTGAGGCTACCAATTCTTTTATCTCTGCATCCTTCGTCGTTAAGTCTAACTTTGCATGTGTGAGAATGAATAATGAACTAGAGGTTAGCATTCCTTTAGGAAGAACTCTTTGCACAAGTCAAATGACTAAGGCCACTAAATTAGAGATTGACGGAAAAATATTAGAGGCAGACTTGTACCTTTTGGAGATGAAAGATTTCGATGTTATTTTAGGCATGGATTGGTTGGGGATTAATCATGCAACCATTCGATGCTACGAGAAAGAAGTATTGTTTCATAAACCAGGAGAGGAAGAGTTCCGTTTCTTCGGGGCAAAGTTCAAGTCTCGACCTCGCCTCATATCAGCTATGCAAGCAGAAAAGATGTTAAGAAAGGAGTCATGCCAGGGATTCTTAGTTAACATCAATAGTTCTCAACATACAGAAATGACCGTTAACGATATTAAGACTTTGCAGATGTATTCCTAGAAGATTTGCCAGGCATTCCACCAGATAGACAAGTGGAATTTACAATTGACTTAGTTCCTGGAGTGGCACCAGTATCTAAGGCCCCGTACCGAATGGCACCGAAAGAACTTCAGGAATTGAAGTTGCAATTGGAGGAATCGCTGGAGAAACGTTTCGTTCGATCGAGTGTATCTCCTTGGGGAGCTCCTGTACTTTTTGTTAAGAAAAAGGATGGGAGTATGAGGATGTGCATTGACTATCGAGAATTGAACCATCTGACCATCAAAAATAAGTATCCGTTGCCAAGAATAGAAGATTTGTTTAACTAGTTAAGGGGTGCTTCGGTGTTTTCAAAGATCGACTTGAGGTCAGGGTATCATCAACTAAAAATCAGGGCAAGCGATATACCGAAAACTGCTTTCAGGACTCGTTATGGACACTATGAATTCACTGTCATGCCTTTTGGTTTGACCAATGCTCCAGCTGTATTTATGGATCTCATGAACAGAGTGTTTCATCAATACTTGGACCAATTTGTTATAGTCTTTATTAACGACATACTCGTGTACTCCAAAGATAAGAAGCAGCATGAGGAACAACTCCGAATAGTACTTGAGACTTTGAGGAAGGAGAAATTATATGCTAAATTCAAGAAGTGTGAATTTTGGCTTGATCGCGTAGGTTTCCTTGGTCATGTGGTTACCGCCCAAGGAATCGAAGTAGATCCTGCTAAGGTGGAAGCAGTAACAAATTGGCCAAGTCCGACCAGTGTGGGTGAAGTCCACAGTTTCTTGGGATTGGCTAGCTATTACAGAAGATTCATTGAAGGCTTCTCAAAAATAGCAGGACCAATGACTCAGTTAACAAGAAAAGGCGTGAAGTTTCAGTGGACGAAAAAGTGTGAAAAATGTTTTCAAGAACTCAAGCAGGGGCTAGTCTCAGCTCCCGTATTGATGATACTTGAAGGTTCAGAGGGATTTGTGATTTACAGTGATGCCTCTAAGCAAGGTTTAGGCTGTGTACTGATGCAACATGGAAAAGTGGTTGCTTAAGCCTCGAGACAGTTGAAGCAGTATGAGCAAAACTATCCAACGCATGACTTGGAGCTTGCAGCAGTTGTTCACGCCTTAAAGATATGGCGTCATTATCTTTACGGTGGGAAGTGTGAAATTTATACGGACCACAAGAGTCTCAAATACTTTTTCACATAGAAGGAACTAAATATGAGACAGAGGAGATGGTTGGAGTTAGTGAAGGATTATGACTGCACAATTTATTACCATCCGGGTAAGGCTAATGTAGTTGCAGATGCCCTAAGTAGAAAGACAGGAACACAGTTAGCAGTTTTACCCACAGTACAGGAACACTTGATAAGGGAGTTTGATAAATTGAGATTGGAAGTTATCACGCCCCAACTCAGATTTCAGCGAGAATAAGAGCATTCATGATTTAACCTACACTTCGAGATCGAATCAAGGAGGCACAGGATAAAGATCCATTATTTTACAGAAGATAAAGGTCGAGATTGGTATAGATAAACATATAGGGTTTGAAGTATCTACAGATAATGCGCTAACTTTCAAAGGAAGACTGTGTGTACCTAAGGATGAAAGTATAAGAAATGAGATATTAGAAGAGGCTCATTCAACCCCTTATTCTGCTCATCCAGGTGGTACGAAAATGTACCAAGATCTCCTGGATGTATTTTGGTGGAGAAACATGAAGAGAGGAATTGGTCTGTTCGTGGAGAGATGTATTATCTGTCAACAGGTTAAGGCAGAACATCAAAGGCCATCAGGATTACTGAAACCGTTGGATATTCCAGAATGGAAATGGGAACACATAACGATGGACTTTGTGGTAGGCCTCCCGAGATCAGCAAAAGGTCACAATGCTATCTGGGTAGTGGTGGATCGTCTGATGAAGTCAGCCCATTTTCTTCCAATTAAAGTAAACTTTAACTTGGAACAGCTGGCACAATTATACATCAGGGAGATAGTCAGGTTGCATGGAGTCCCAGTCACCATTGTTTCAGATAGAGACTCGAGGTTCACATCTAAATTTTGGAAAAGTTTGCAGATGGCCATGGGGACAAAACTGAAGTTTAGCACAGCTTATCATCCTCAGACGGATGGACAATCAGAAAGAACCATCCAAACTTTGGACGATATGCTAAGGGCATGTGTTTTGGATCTTGGAGGTAGTTGGGAGACACCCCTGCCGTTAGTGGAGTTTGCTTACAACAATAGTTTTCAGGCCACTATAGGAATGGCCCCGTATGAAGCTCTTTATGGTAGAAAGTGCAGATCCCCTATCCATTGGGATGAAGTTGGGAAAAACGGAATTTTGGGTCCAGAAATCATTGAGCGAACAGTTGAGGCAGTGGATAATATTAGGGCAAGAATAAAGACAGCGCAAGATCGACAGAAAAGCTATGCTGACAGTAGAAGAAAGGATTTAGAATTTCAAATAGGTGACAAAGTCTTTCTAAAGGTAGCACCAATGAAGGGTGTATTGAGATTTGGAAAGAAAGGGAAGTTGAGACCACGGTTCGTCGGACCTTTCGAAATTCTTGAAAGGATTGGTAGTTTGGCTTACAGACTTGCCTTGCCACCTGAACTAGTAGTAGTGCATAATGTGTTCCATGTTTCGATGCTCAGAAAATATGTTCATGATCCCAATCATGTGGTAAGTTATCAGACATTAGATGTACAAAAGATCTATCATATGAAGAAATTCCGACAGTAATTTTGGAAAGAAAGGTACATCAACTCAGGAAGAGAGGAGTTCCACTGGTTAAGGCGCAATGGCGAAATCATGGACGAGAGGAATCAACTTGGGAGAAAGAAGAAGAGCTTAGAACCAAGTATCCAGAACTTTTCGATTAACCAAGGTAAATTTTCGAGGACGAAAATATTTAAGGAGAGGGGATTATAATATCCCGAAATTTTATAGAATATAATTTAATTTTATTTATGCTATATTTTTAATGTTTTGAAAGTTTAGGGACTAAAGTGTATATAAAGTAAACTTTAATAATATTTAGATTAAAATATAAATATTGACGGGACGATGATAAGTATACGGATATTGGGCTCGTTGGATAGATAATAATTAAAGACGCATTTTAGACTCGAGAAAAAATTTATTTGGGTTAGTCGAGCCCAAGTTATCGAAGCCGGAAGATATAACATTAAAATATTATTTTTATTACTTTTATTGTTGAAGGATTCACGTGGAGAGAGAAAGATGATAGTTGTGGAGATATTTTATTTTTTTATTACAATTTATGGTTTTGAATTGTTATGGTAGGCACGTGATTTGTTAGAAAATATTGTATTTGATATTATTCCAAATTCAAATCCTTATCCAACTTTTTGTATAATCATTATTATCCTATTCCTTGTGTAGCACGATTTCCACTTCTAGTTGCATCAGGATTCTTTTATTTATTTTTTTCAAATACTCAGCAAAAGTCTGACTTCGGCCTACTTTTATTTCCAAAGCATAAAGGAGAAAAAGAAATACGTTTCTGGCAGCAGTAATCGAAAGCAAAAGTTTTGGAAAGAGATTTTGGATTTTTGCCTTTCATTATTTAATTTATCTAACAAGGTAGGATTTCGAGGTGCAAGTGGGTTGTCCCATTTAAATTATTTCTTCATGTTTGATAAATATTATACTTATGAAAGTTATGATATGTGTAATGTGATTATGATATGTATGTTATGGTCATCCGGTACCAAAGATATGATATGATATGAGCTCTTACCGGTTCTAAAGATATGATATGACGGTATAATATTTTGACGCGTGATTTAATATTTTTAATTGGGATTACACAATTTCTCGTACCCTACTGAGTATTCCCATATACTCACCCTTTTCCTACTCCTCACAGGTTAGATCGGGTCGTGTTGGAGTGTGGTGGTTCGAAGGTGTGGTTGCGTCTTGTTTCGCCAAATAAAGATCTAAGTTAGCACGTAATATTTATTTATTTTTAGTTTATTGCAGTAAACATTTATTTATTTACGAATAAATTCTCGTTCATGTTAGTTGTAGATGAATATACGTAGTTTATGATTTTTAAATAGAAGTTTGAACTAAACGTTATTTTCCTTCCTATCGATTTACAAATCTGTTCTTTCGTATATGTTGGGAAGAAAGAATTGATTGACTTTTTGAACATTCCAGAAATTCCACCAAGTTCTTTTATAATATTTAAAGTGTTTGCCAAGAAAGGACGTACCACCATCTGCAATTGGAGTAAAATATTGAGTTAAGGTCCAAAGCATTAATTATGACATGAATTTGATAGATTTTGCTTGTCTACGTGTCAATCATGAATTTATTTAGGTACTGCATGATTATAGAAAGTAATGGATAATTTGTTTTTAAGTTCTTCCGAGTTTTATTTATTTATTTTATAGATGGAACTAGAAATATTTTCGTCTTGGATGATTAATTATTTTAATTAATCTTGAAATAAAGGTTTGGTAATGATTTTTGAAACTATTTAAAATTTGGGTCGTTACAAATTAGGCTAGCAATTCGCGAAGAACGAACGAACCCGAAGTTATCATAAGATCAAAAACTACTTTTCATTGGCTCGATTCCAATCAAATTCGACGAGCAATTCGCCATAAACGAACACGCCGAAAGTTAACAAGAAATCAAAAACCCCTTTTCGTTGGCTCGATTCCAATCGAATTAGAGTACAACTCGCCAAAAATGAACAAACCCGAAGTTATTATGAAATCAAAAACCACTTTTCATTGGCTCGATTCAAACCGAATTAGACTCGTAATTCGCCAAAAACAACCTAACCCGAATTATCATGAAATCGAAAACCACTGTTCACTGGCTTGATTCCAATCAAATTAGACTAGCAATTAGCCATAAACGAACAAACCCCAAGTTATCATGAAATCGAAAACCACTTTTCATTGGCTCGATTCCAATCGAATAAGACTAGCAATTTGCCAAAAATGAACAAATCCGAAGTTATCACGAAATCAAAAACT